TGACAGATGGGCCTTCTTTTGTATTTACATGCTTTTATTTAGATTTTGTTAGTTTGAACTGGTGATGCCCACCAATATGTGAAATCAGTTTGCCAAATAGAGGTGCAAGCGGCACTCCAGTGTGCCACCCTGTATTGTGTGATGTGTTTGAGAGTTGAATTGTGCATAATACATTTGCTGCATGTAGGTGCCAATACAGTGATGCAATTGATTAATCTTTAAGTTCTTGTGTTTTTTTCATAAGATAGTGAACACACACACAAAATCAATTAGGTGGAAGCTGCCACTGTTGGCTAGTGCTTAAACACTGAATTTAACTACTGTGTCATTATGGCATAAATAGTCAAAAAGTAGCCAAAATCAGTAAAAGTATCGCAATGTATTTCTAATACAAGAACGGCAAATTGGCATGTCACCTTTTACACAAGAAAATGATTCAATAAACAAATAAATAAATAAATATGCCGCGAGTTTAACCCCCCCAATGGCAGACCCAAAGTTACGCCCTTGACTGTTGCAGTCTCAAGCCAAAAACACACAATTAACCAGAAGCCCTATAAAGGCCAAGGAAAAACTCACCCAAATCGAAGGGAAGAAACACAGAAGAGGGATCCATCCTTCCTGTAGTTTTAGGGTTATGTTGTCCTGTTTGTCTCTATGGTTCTCCAAATGTTTAACCCCACCGCTCCCTCTCTCCCTTCTCTCTCTCTCTACCCCAGTTCATGCTGCGCGAGTTTGATACCCGCCGGCCGCAGTACGACCAGCTGACCCAGTCCGCCGAGGGCATCCTCTCTCAGACCGGCGACGCCCCCCAGGACCCCAAGGACCTGAAGGAGGTTCGGGCAGAGCTGGGCTCCATCTCGCAGCAGTGGGAGGACCTGACGTCCCGACTGGACCTGAGGTCAAACAACATCGACCGCGCCCAAGGCACCAGCGAACGCTACCAGGTGAGCAGCGCCCATAGGGCTCTGGATGGTTGCCACAGCGACGGGAATGTTTCTGTTCTAATACTGTGGACAGTAACAATATATATATATATATGCCATTTGGTGGACGCATTTATCCAAAGCGTCTTACAATACCGTGAGTGCATAAATTTTTTAGCATGGGCGGTCCAATTTGGAATCGAACCCCTAACCCTGGCAACGTTAATGCCATGCTCTACCAGTTGTGCTAGTCAGGACCACGCATTAACACCTGTGTTTAATGTGACATGGTGGTTATTACTATTTAGTCATTTAGCAGATGCTTTTATCCAAAGCGACTTGCAGTGAATATAGATACATGTCATTTGCCCCTAGCACACATAGGAAGCGTCGCGCTGCGGCGCGTCAACAGGAATATAGTCGTCTCCGGAGCAGAAGAAAAAAAAAGAAAAGAAAAACGCGCCTTTTCGGCGGCACTTGACGCGAGGCGATGCTGTGAAATAGGACAGTGGCGTGAAGTGTAGCGAGCCGGTGCGCGCCTGCCACCGCCGGTGTGGGGGTGTACATAGAAAATAATAGGGCCGGCTGTTTTGACGCGCGCCGTTCGGCGTAATCGAAATGTTATCGAAATTGTTGAGTGTTTCAGCTCTTTAGTCTGGTGTGGAAAAAATGGAAGCCAATGTCGCAAATGAGAATATGGATCAATGAGCAAAAAAAAAAGAAAAAAACATGATTTGACGATCAGTCGACTAATAGACAAGACTTGAAAACGAATCAGATTCTTTGACGAATCAGATTCGATTATGTAAATTCTTAGTCAAGGACACCCCTACTATTTAGAAGGTAGCGGTTACGGGCTGAGGACATCGGGGATCAAACCTAGGACCCTTTGGCTACGTTCGCCCTAACCACTATGTTATCCAGCAGGATTATAACACCACTGCTTCATGCGCATCAAACCTAAGATAAATGTACCGGTATATCTAACACACACACCACTTTCCCCCTCCACACTACCACCTCCCCTCCTCCCCAACCTCTCCCCCCCTCTCAGGCCCTGCTGAAGGAGCTCTCGGCCAGCGTGAGCGACCTGGGCGAGCGCCTGGACGGCCAGGCGTCGCTCAGTGCCCAGCCTGAGGCCCTGAGGAGCAGGCTGCAGGAGACAGGCGAGGTGCGCTCGGAGCTGGAGCAGAGGCGTGCCGAGCTGGGCGAGGCGGAGAGGCTGTGCGCCGAGCTGAGCGCCATTGTGGCCGAGCCCTACCTGCGGGAGGAGCTCAGCAAGCGGCTGGAGGCGGTCGGGGCGCCGCTGCGGAACCTGGAGGAGCGCGCTGGTAGGTGGAGATGAGGGTGGTGGCAGTGGAGGTGATGATGAGGATGATGATGGGGACAAAGTCTCTGTTCTCTGGTTGTTGAAGTTGTAGTAGTTGTGGTTTGCAGACAGGGTCACAATACATTAACACAGACCGACGGCACAAGAACAACAATACAATAAAGCACAGAGGTAGTTCAGACAGGAGATCATTACAGTGCAACGACAGCATGCCATAAGTAAGCAGATTAGTGCTATTTACAGTTTAAGATGCCAATGGCAGTAGGGACAAAGGAGACCGTATATCGCTTTGGTTGGTTGGTATTCATCCATACCACTGTTCGTCCAATCTCTAGATCTAGATTTTGGTTTGCTTCATGATTCGCCCAGTTTGTTTGTTGGTTCAAGATCAGGTTTAAATCTCTCGTTTTAAAGCTGATTCTTAAAGTTAGCATTGTATTTAGCATAATAGTCAGTGAAGAATAAAATGGTATTCATACAGGATACATTTATATCAATGTGCTTAACAATGTGATCAACAGGAAAAGTTGAAAAGGAATCATGAAATACAGTCATTTACAAAAAAAAAGAATAACATGAAAAACTAATCTAAACCAAACATTTTCAAAATGGATACACATAGAGCAGCAAGGCACTTAACCTCCTGTGGATAATCAGTGTGGTTTGCTTGTACTACGAGTATTTAAATTCAGGTTTCATGTTAAAGGTGACACCACAACAGAGTACACGCAATGGAGGAAAGGAAATCTGTTTTCTTATTTTCAAATATGTTTATTTTTCAAACATTTCAAGTTACTTGGAAGTTTGAGTCAGAGGAGAAGGTTGTGTTTGATGACAAACACAATGTTACTGGGTACTATTTAACACCCCGCTGGCCCAGGCTAGAAAAGTCCTGCTGCTTTCAGATGATTTCAATCTCTGGCTGGAGACACACACAGTTAAACACACTCACCGCTTGCTGATAAATCATTAAAATCAAATTTCTGTGTTTGTGGCAGGGGCAGATGTAATCATGTTGGAGAGAAAACAGATGTGACTGTTGTTTTGTTCGATGTGTGATTTTTTCAAATGTTATTTTCAAACCATACTTTTAAGCTTTTAATGTCCTATTTCTTCCACTGTTTTGACAGGAGATTGTTTTTTGTTACAGAGCTGTTATGTATACAAAGTAAATAGACCAGTTGGATAAACTAACACTGATTTATTTTTCCAAGCTCTCAAATATCCCATTTAATTATTCTTGCAAATCTATCACAGGAATTGTTTTGACATCATCAAAAAGTATCCTAACAAACACTCTCTCTGTCTGTTTCTCTCTCTTTCTCTCTCTCTCTCTCTCTCTCTGTCTCTTTTTCTCTCTCTCTGTCTCTCTCTCTGTCTCTCGCTCTCTGTCTCTGTCTCTCCCGGACTCTCTGGATCTCTCTCTACAGCCGATGGTCTGTCTCAGCTGCAGGCCGCCCTCTCCTCCACCCAGCAGTTCCAGCAGATGTTTGATGAGCTGCGCTGCTGGCTGGACAACCAGGCAGACACCAGGGACTCCTCGGCCGACTCCCTCCCCTGCCAGCCGGGGGCTCTGCGCTCCCTGCTGGCCCACACCGAGGACCTCCAGCGGGGCATCGCCGCCCAGCGCGGTTCCTATGAGCTCCTCCAGGCCGAGGGGGCCACGCTCCTGGCCGCGCTCCCCGCCGGAGGAGACGAGCGGTCGGCCCTGCAGTCGCGACTGTCCGGCCTGCGCCAGGACTGGGACGGGCAGAACCAGAGGGTCACAGACCGGCAGAACCGGCTGAAGTCCACCCTGGCGAAGGCCGAGACGTACCAGCAGCACAGGGCGGAGCTGATGCCCTGGCTGGAGGAGTGCGAGGGGAGAGACGCAGAGATCCGGCCGTCGCTGGCCCCCGAAGCCGTGGACGAGGCCCTGCAGAAGGCCCGGGCGCTCTCCATGGAGCTGGAGAGGAGGCGCCCCCTGGTGGACAACCTCAACACTGCAGCGGACCAGCTGCTGGAACAGTGCCGTGTAGGAGAGGAAGAGGTACTTGGCTCATTATTGAAGGTGGTTTCATGTTTGACTTTGTTTGGTTGACTTTTTATGATTTTGTTTGCTTTATGATTCAGCCAAAGCTGCTCATAATTGAGCTATGTTTGCTTTGCTGTTTGTTATTATTCCATTAGCAACAAAATGCTTACAGCAATGTTTTGACCTATTAAAATAATACATTTTTAAATGTTTTAAGAGTTTTCTCCTTCATGACAGCAAATGACAACAGGTCAAAAATTCAGTTTCTTTTAGACATACTTGAGTCTGTTTGTCTGTTGTCCTCAACAAAACCCAACCTATGCCAAAACCCAACAGGTGCGTGATGAGAAGGCCCAGCTGAACCGCAGGGTGGACAGCCTCGGGGAGAGGGTCCACGACCACTCCTCCCAGCTGGAGGATCTGGCCGGCCGCCTCAAGGAGTTCGAGGATGGGAGACAGAGTGTGGAGAGGAGGCTGGATGCGGCCAAACACCAGATAGAAGTACAGGAGGCTCTGGGGCCACAGGTAATCTGAATGAATGTTGAGTTTAATCTGAACACAATCATAGTGCTGTTGTTAATCTGCTCATCAGACTATAATGAATTAGTCAACTAAATAACATGATGATTTAGATATGTACATCTGACAATAATATAAAGTGTATATTTCACCACTATTACCATTTTGTATTAATATTCTAGCAGATGCTTCGATCCAAAGTGACTTACAATGAGTATTGGGGATTGAACCCAGAACCTTTTGGTTATGAGTCAAACATCCTAACCACTAATAGACTATCCTGCACCCCCCCCCCCCCCCCCCCCCCCGCCCTCCAAGTTATTGTTTTTAAACCAGTTATTTCTGTTGTCCGCAGGCGTGCAGCGCCAAGAGCCTGGAGCGTCTCAGGAGCCAGCAGGAAGCCCTCAGGTCCCTGCAGCCCCAGGTGGTCTACCTCAGAGACCTGGCCCACGGTCTGGTGCAGGATGCACCCCAGACACCGGGGGGTGGCAGAGAGGGAGCAGAGAGGCTGCAGCAGCAAGCCACCGACACCGAGAAGGAGTATGCAGATGTTACAGAGAAGGTGAGGAGAGCAGGGATGGGATTCTTTTAAAAAAAGAAAATCCTGTAAAAAAATAATATTATTTCTTATTAATATTATAATATTCACTATCATTATGAAGGCAGAGAAAGGGGCAAATATTTAAAGTTGAACATTGAACATTGGCTATGAATAGAAACATTTCCCCCCACAGTACAGTGGAAAAAGGAATAAGCAATGAGAGAGATCATAGATCATAGATATTGCTCCCAAGTAGCAAAATACCTACCTTGCAAGCGAACAACTCATCAAGTTTGTGTGTGTGTGTGTGTGTGTGTGTGTGTGTGTGTGTGTGTGAGTGTGAGATTTAGGTCAAGGCTGTGTAGTGACACTGCGTGGACCAGTGTCCAGGCGGTTGAGACAGTGCAGAGTGCTGGGGCTGTCAGAAGACTAGTGCTATTTGAGTTACTGCTAGTCTTATATGGCCATTGTGGACGTTGTGGCTCTTTTAGTCATCGTTTGAAATGTAAACCACATGTACTGGAACACAAGGTCCACGTATTATAACCATATTTATCTTTTCTCCTCTCTAAACTTCCCATACAAGGTCATTCTAATCAAAACCATTCACCAGTGCAATTATGTTCTTTTGTATCGTATTATGTTACACGTTAATACGTTGGGCTGTTGCTGCTCTTGTACGACCTAGTTAAAAACGGATAACTGGACAGAGTAGCTCTACAAATCAGAAATATGAGGTTAATCATTGTGTATCAATTTTTTAAATCTATTTTTTGTTGTGTAAACAGCTACTAGATATGGCATATCAAAGTGCCTTCTAGATTATTATTTCTAGAAATGATTTGGGGCTCTAAAAATCAAACAAAAAATATATATTTACAAAAAACATATATTTACACCTATAATAATAATACACCTATAATAATAATAATACAGATAATACATGCATTCATCTCTCAGATCGAGCAGTATTAACCCCTTGTTTTTCTCTCTCTCTTGGTCTCCCTCCCTCTCTCTCCTCTCTCTCCCAGGTGGAGCAGTGCTCGGCGGCGCTGGAGTCTCGCCTACAGGGTGTTGGCGAGGTGCAGTCACACGTGCGCGACGTCTTCTCCCGCCTGGCCGACCTGGACGACGAGCTGGACTCTCTGAGTCCTGTGGGGCGCGACGCCGACTCACTGGCGTCGCAGGCGGAGGCGCTGCGCGGCTTCCTGGCGCGAGTGGGTGAACTGCGCGGCCAGCTGGGCGGCCACGGCGACGAGTGCACCGCTATGCTGCGGCGGGAGGGCTCCTCTCCCGACCTGCTGGCCCTGCGCCGGGAGACGGAGGCCCTCAGCAGGCAGGCCGGCAAGGTGAGATGAGGGAGAGGGTCGGTCGGGGGGAGGGAGGGGGGGGGGGGGCCTGAGAGAGAAGGTAGGGAGAAGACGGAGAAGGGAGGAGTAATGGGTTCAGAGACATTGTTATGTTGAATTGAGTATATTGCATTGAGTAAAAACTAAACTTACATGACCAGCGTAATATTTCCTCCATCAAAGCTGATCTCTCTCTCTCTCTCTCCCTCTTGCGCTCTCTCTCTCGCTCTCTCTTGCTCTCTCTTTCTCCCCCCGCAGCTGAACGAGCGAGGCCAGGTCCGATTGGGCCAGATCGACGCCGCCGCGGAAAAGGTGCGGGAGTTCTATGGGCTGGTGGCCGAGCTGCAAGGCATGCTGGGAAGAGCCGAGGAAGGCCTGAATGCCCAGGGGTTGGTCGGCACGGAGGTGGAGATCATCAAGCAGCAGCTGCAGGAGTTCAAGGTAGGAGCTGAGTCTCTGTAGTGTGTGTGTGTGTGTGTGTGTGTGTGCATGGTCGTATAAGAGGGTGTGTGTGTGTCTTGGTGAGTAAAGCTGATGTCGTGGTTGTTTCTCAGCATTGTTCATCCCTCTGGAGAACATGGTGTGTGAGTACATGCGCACATGTGCTTGTAGCGTGAGGTGAGGCTTCCATGAGCCGCACGCTCGTCATCCCCTTGCTTGTTCCTGAAGACACACACACACACACCCGGTGCTTGTTAGTGTGGTCAGAGGGAGATGTTATTTCAAATCAATATCCGACTTCCGTCTTTTATTATCCTTCCTCATTATATTCCTATTCTGCCTTTCAACATATCTCTCTCTTTCTCTCTCTCTCGCTCTCACTCTTTCACGCTCTCTCTCTCTGTCTCTCTCTCATTAAACCATCTCTAAGAACTAAAGCCTTCCTGTGTGTGCATGTGCACATGTGTCTTCCAAGATCAGTGTTATTACACACTATCTCATCATTTTCAGAATAAAAGTGTGATGCGCTTCTTTTGTCACGTCGGAAGTGTGTTGGTGTCGGCACACACAAGCATGCGTGGCACCGGCCGGAAGAGGTGCCTCACTGCCTCCGCGGTTACCACAAACCCCACCGTTGTCATAGCAACCAAACGGTGCACAGTTGGCAGCGGTGCGAGTGAGGGATCGACACAGATGTATCTTGAAAGGATCCGGCTGATTATACAGAACAATAAAAACACACTGCATTCAAAATGCCTCCATTACATGTTTTGTGTGAGGGCACAGATGTGATTTCCAAATGGTATTTAGTCACCAAGTTAAATGAAGATAATATACGTTTACTTTTCCCTTTCCCAATCGATTTGGTTTTTACAGTGCTTTACTTTCCCGAATATGTGTGCTTGGCAGGAAGATGGGAACAGAAAAGGATTTACAAGAGAAATTAAGACAGAAATAATGGTATAATTTTGGCCATGGGATGGTCATATAGTGTTTCTGATGTATCCTGTGTCCTGTTGTGGAGGATTTACACTTTTGTTAAGTGCCATAATAACTGATAAAAATGGACCCCTGCACAACTGGACATCAGCAAGGTACTTTTAACAGGTGGAAACAGGATTATTCTGCAACCTCAAACGCACAACGCGTGAGGCTCATTACGACACATGTTGATGGCGGAGAAAGTGCGAGAGAGAGATTGTAAAAATGCTATTAATACAAAATGGTCAGATTCGCTAAATGCGTTGGTCATCATGGTCCATCCTAAATAGATTTTACTGTTGGGCCGGAGTCACAGTTTGATGGCTGGGGATTCAGCAGGGACTGACCTCTGTGTTTTTCTTTTCACGGGTGCTGAGTTTGTACCCATGACTTCACCATATGTCTGAAGTCTGCCAATAGAGCAGGTTAGGAAAGCTCTCTCTCTCTCTCTGGACTATTAACTTCAAAGAGTGCATATCCTGAGTGTGACATCATATCCTGTCCACTTGTGAATTCTATGCAAGCATGCAATTACGCAAGATTGCAATAGCCTGTAGTACTTTCGAAGTTTCAGTACTTTAATCTGGGCTGAAATTACCCCCTTGTCACAATGACTTTGGGGTTAGCTGTGTCTTTGTAAAAGTGTGATGGGCGTTTTGGATGAGATGGCTGGTCCAAATTGTTTGTGCTTTTGAAATATTTAGTAGTGCTGCTCGTCTCCAGAGTGTTGCTGCCATCAGGATCCGTGGGAGGTTGAAAGAACATCTATTTTAATTTCCTCTTTTCTTTCTGTCCTTCTGGTCCGCCTTCCCACCATCGTCGTGTGTCCTACACAATTGTTTTTAATTCTTGTATATGGCATTTTATTATTTTGACAGTTTGGATGAGTTATCGATCTAAATGGCAGCTCTCTCTCTCTCTCTCTGTCTCTCTCTCTCTCTCTGTCTCTCTCTCTCTCTCCTACTCTCTCTGTCTGTCTTTGTCACTCGGCCTCTCGCACTCCCACTCCTGTACCGCTTCTGTCACGACAGGGAAGATAAAGAGACCTAGAAAGAGAGTAGGAGGTGAGTGAGGGATGAGAGAGTTACCTTGAGCTAGAGAGAGAGAGGGAGAGAGGGGGGAGATATTTTGAAAGGCAGAATAGGAATGTATGTAACTCTTCCTGAGTTGAACACAGACAAAGAGAGAGGAGATTTGCTCCTCCTTTACGTCGGCCTCTATATACAGATATGTCTACACACTGTGTGCTCGTTAATGTTTTATTTCAATGGACTACTGACCATTTTGAAAGTAGGTTCTTGCAAATATAAACATATGAAAGCTAAATAGAGAAAGAAATGTGAACACGAATATAAATGGTGGCAGAAATAGTGTGTTTGTCTGCCTGTCTGTCTGTCCACTTTAATCTGAGCAGGGAGGCTTTATTCATAGTGGGCAAAAAGGGGAGAAGAGGATATATATATATATATATATATATATATATATATATATATATATATATATATATATATATATATATATATATATATATATAAAAGCATAAGGACAAACAGATACATAGACTAGAAAGTATCAGTCTCTCTCTCTCTCTCTCTCTCAAATTCTTTCTCTCTTTCTGTAACTGATCCAGCTCGGTTCAGTTTGAACCTAAACATGTCTGTCTGGCTCCAGAGCCTGTCGTCCCCCTCCCCAGAACCCCATATACCCCCCCCATCTCATCCAACCCCCCCTCCCAGCCCAGACCTCCCCTCCCAGCCCAGACCTCCCTTCCCCCACCAGACCCCATTTCCAGTCGAGAGCAATGATGTCATTCCCCGCCGTTCACATAAGGATGGGGCGGGGGGGTTGGGGACGTGTCTGTGTGTGTGTGTGTGTGTGTGTGTGTGTGTGTCTGTGTCACGGTGCCGTAATGGACCCGTTAAGAGGTTATGTTTTCAGGTCAGGTCTTATTGTTGAAACTTCCCAACA